AGGATGGAGGCTGGGAGGAGCCAAGAAGAATCAGAGTTCCTTTTGCAGAGTAGACCTAAATCTTTGAAATAGTGTTATAAATGTAAGTACTTTAACTACAGCTTCTGAAGTCATTTATTAATGAACAGAAGTCTGAAATTTGATTTAATGAAAAAATTTTCCAGTCAGCTTCTAAGCTATCATGGCTTCCCAGCAGCTCAGTGGTAAAGAATCTGCCTGCCAGTGCAGATGAGGCAGGTTTGACCCCTGGGTCAGGAAGATCCCCTGGAGAAGGAAATGGCAACCCACTCCACTCTTCTTGCCTGGGAAATCCCATGGACAGAAGAACCTGGCAGGCTACAGTCCATGGGTTCACAAAAGAATTGAACACAACTCAGCAACTTAACAACAAAAACCACCTAAGCTTTCAGAGGTTAATTTTCAGAAATTTCTTCTTAGATATTCCTAGCTTAAAACCTGAGTTTAAAAAACAGCATTTTATGTCTGAGCATCACAGAAGGTGAAAGCATATGCTCTGGTTCTCTTTCCCTCATCCTTTCACTCCACTCTGGCCTTTGAATACTAAAGAACAGGTAAAGCCTGCATTTCAAACCCAGCTTCTGCAGTCTCCAGAATCTAGCTGATCCCATGGGGTGATCCTGCAGAGGCAAAATGTCACTTGTAAGAGTGTCATGAAGTTAGCTAGGTGCTGAAAATGGGACAAGCCAATGGAAATTAACAAATCTTCTAAGTCAACATAACATATCTAGCTTTGCTGAGAAACACTGGTGTATAAAATCTGACCAGAGATAAAAGATAAAAAATATCTTTGCCTTGGTGATAATATTTTTAGAAATGACAGAGTCAGTGTATTTATGTCAGGATAGCCAGAAAACAGTTATAATTTTTTTTTCTTATTAGTTCTGTTTAGATAAAACTGTTAGGTAAAGATCTGATGGCCAGTGTCACGCTCACTTCAATTTGAAATTGTATTTGGTAGCTGCTCTGGTGCGGCCCCTTCAGGACCCACACATCTATTTCCCTAGCTGCTGGAAATGTCTTGGGCTGAAAGCTTGCAGTTGAGCCCCGCTTCAGGAATTACCATGCTAAAAAACTGCCATCTCCAGAGTCACAGCCCCTTCCCATGGGTAGCCTTTCCAATGACTTATCTTTCTCAGGGTATAAAGACTGGCACCCTTTCCTCAATTTAAGACAGCTATGAAGGGTACTCCCAGATTCAGGAATTCCTATCTGTGAGATGATATGAGGTTTCTGCGTGACTCCATCACATTTCCACTTCCCCCTCTACCTTCATCCCGCATGGGTGTTGATGCTGAGAGCACTCCCTAATAAACTTGCTGCTTTCAAATTTCTGTTTCAGACTCTGTTTCCTAGAGATCCCAGTCTGCATCATTTCAGGATCCCATTTCTAAAACAGTGGTTGGTCAATGGAGACTCCAAATTTTCAGACTTGATATGAGCTAGTGAAGGTAGAAGATCAGTGGTTCCTGTATTTTAATTTTAACAAGATGTTAATTTTCAAAAATTTAATTCTATTAATTGAATGGTATTTACTCTGGTTCAGCTTAGTCTGTGGCAGTGCAGTATTACCTTGTTGCAAACTGGTAAATAAATAAATAAAAATTAGCATTTTTCTCAGAATCCACAGGAAGTCATTTCTTTGTCTTCAAAAATTTCTCTGCAAGCAAGTTCAATTTCATTGCATTCCTTACCTTGCAGTGAGATTACTGACTTCTCTCAGTGATAGTTCAAAAATTGCAAATAACAGGAAAAACAGGAAAGTCTTCAAGAAGGGAAAGATTGTGGATGCTTTAAGCTATATATGCAAGCAGCTTTAATGGTGATCCTGGGCACAGTTATAGAGTAAAAAGGCTTGTGATGGGAATGTCATGGAAGCTGATGAGGCATCAGTTGGGGACTTGGGCTTGGTGACTAACTGCCCAGGGCCAGGTGGACAATTTAAGGCAAGAAGATACTACTGCTCTCTGAGGTTTTCTGGGGACTCAGGCTGGCAAGTGCCTCTGCCATTCTCAACATAAAGCTCCCATTTCTGACTTCAAGGAGATGTTCTGTTGTTCCACGCTCTGTTCAATGAGAAGAGAGAAAGAGCAGAGCCTTTCTTCAAGTATTAAATTTCCTGAAATACTGACAAGGTGTATCTTTTGTCTGTTCCTACTCCTGAGGGCCATGGAAATTTGTCTTCCACTGGCCAGTAGCAGGGTGCTACTGACTTGATATTCAAAAACAAATCCTTTATTATTGGGAGTTTGTGACAGTTTATGGCAGACAATATGGAACCGCGACCGTGGGAAAGAAATTTGCTTTATGGGCTAGTCTAGACCATTATGGTAAGAGATTGGAGGTAAGAGAGAGTGAAGCTGGGATGAATTATTTCTATCTAATCATTTGGTGACATTCATACTATCTCTCTGTCACAGATAGATTTTATATATATATAAAAAGACATCTTTATAAGTGCCATATTTGGAGGGTCCACAGGGTACTCAAGATCCAGCAATGTGTTCCACATCCCCTACAGAAAAGACGTATGACTATCGGGAAGAAAGAATGCGGAAATAAATGGTAGACATAAGTCTGATACGAGCCTGAAATTTAATATATGGAAGAACACAGTGAAAGGAGAGAACAGAATGTGGAGAATGAAGGAAAAATTCACACTGGAGTTTCTTGGGGGATGTGTTCTGAACCTTTGTGGGGGAGAGTCACCACATAGAGCCAGGTTCTGTGTGATGAAAGACAAATGCCTGGGCTAAAAGGGAGCTTAGAGACCACCTGGTCCAAACCTCCCTTGTTACAAAGAGGAAATGGAATCCGAGACTAGCAAGGACTTGCCCCAGCCACACAGCTAGTTATCAACAGCTCGAGCTTCCAGGTTTGTGCTCAGTCCATAGTGCTTGCAAGCCGGGGCTGAGAATGTAAATGGAAGTAAATGAAGTGTAACAGTCAAGACTCAGAAAGATGTATCTGAAGCTTACAAAGCCTGGACTATCCATGTTCCATCTCTCTCAATTTTTCTGGGTCACTTAGCCTCAGACCAAATAAAGGAGTAATTAACTTGCTCTTCAGCCTGATGCATAGCTGTGTGTAAAACACTATGAGACTAGATGTTGTTAAGGAATGTTCTGTATGACTCTGGTCCCAAGGCGTAACTATAACAGACCTTCTATCTTTTCTTAAAGGTATGGGAGTATCTAGGAATAGCAGCAAGGAGCTTCCTATAAGGACTTTTCCTGGCCTATTGTTGCACAAAAAATCCCTTCTCCACCCATAAGGCCTCTTTACACAAAGCCAAATGCCAAGGCCCTTTCCTGGGAATCTGGTCACTATCTCTCTGAAATGATTAAAAAAAAAAAACATGAACAGTGTTAAGGAGGTTCATACCAGCGTTAGGGCTCAATGTGGGCTGTCCCTAAATATGCCACAATGACATATTGAATATTTTTAATTAAAGTTACTTAAGAAGCAGGTTGGATGGATTTGGGAGTTTGGGATTAGCAGATGTAAACCATATATATAAGATGGATAAACATCAGGGTCCTACTATATGACATAGGGAACTATATTCAATATCCTGTAATAAACCATAATGGAAAAGAAATGAAAAAGATATATATATATATAAAAAAAACACAGGGAGCTCAGCCCAGTACTCTGTGAGGACCTGAACAGGTGGGATGGAGGGAAGGGATATATACAACTATCCTCCAAAATAATAATAAGAAGAAAATCTTGTTTCCTTTTATTTAATACCTCAAGCCCAATCTCTGTTTAGATTCTTCACAAATTGAGCACTCCAAACCTAAGCTTCTCCATCCTGTCAATTCCTTTCAAATGTATCATTTCTTTGCCTAAAAAGTTTAAAGGTTGCCTGCTTTGGCCACTTGTTAGGTCCCATTTCTATGAGCCCTCTGAGCACATGAATTAAAATTTCTTTCTTTGTCTCCTGTCAACTTTATTATTAGTTCAGCCACAAGAACTCAAGGGGATGAAAGGGTTTCCCTCATGCTGACAGCAGATACCTATATTAAAAAAAAAAAAAGCTTTAATAATTTCTTTATTCTTTATGACCCCTTTGGAGAAAATGGGACTTGTCAGTCTTATGAATATTTACAAGTGTTCCTTCACTTCCTTATGCTATTAATTGTTCACAAAAACAAATAAACTAAAGGTGCTCTGATCTCCCATTTCCTGTTGTGAACTCCTGGTCAGCACTAGCAGTACCTTGCTCTCTGCTCTAATGCTTTCCCCAGGGCCCCGTATAACCGTCTCCATGAGCAGAGGTGGGGCAGGGGCGGAAGAGAAGAGACTGGGACATTGTTTGAAATCTTATTCAGTCCTGCACTTTTTCATTGTGAGAGTTCTTATTATGTGCTAGAGTTTCTCTAAGATGCTTAGTTCAGGTACTGTAAGAGGATATACAAGATTTAATTTGGGGAGATAGGAGAGGAGTGAAACAATAGCAGGGAACTCTTAGACTGAGCCTCACCCCCAGTATTCAGGGGCTCAAGCCTGCCCCAGATTCTGCCAAGAACTAGAAGTTCATGTGATAGTAAGTGAAGAGAGAGCATGAAGATGATCAGCTTCATCAGTGTACCGTTTCTTGTATTCTCATTCGTAGGTCAGACTTACAAAGGAGAGAACATTACAAAAGAGAACATTTCTAATCTAGGACTTCATGGTTCTTGCCTCAAAACTAGCAAGCCTCAAATACTTAAAAGTGTCACATTACACGGTTTCGTACTTTTATTCAAGTTGTATATCTCTTTTACAGATGCTAATAAATGAATCTATTCATTTCTTTACTTATATAAATGATGCTTATTGAGCACTTACTATTACATGCCACTTGACCAGTTTAATGAAGCAGTTCTATAAAGCCGTGAGCATTTTCTATGTACCTTGTGAGTTGTCTTTGACAACTGAGAAGCGTTGACTAAAGCCAAAAAGAAATTGCTATTGCAGAGGTTTCTTGAGTGACATCAGTTCCCTGGGGGATCTGGTTTAGGCTGTGGGTCCGTAAATCTGTTGCGTTTCCTGGTTCTCTTCATCTTCAAGAGTAACGTGAACTGCTTCTGGGTTGAGACAAGCAACGCTGTGTCCACAGCAAACAGAATCATCACCAACAATGGGATAAGAAATTGTAGCCAGAAATAGTTGCTTTGAGTGTACGTGTACTCTAGATGCAATAAGAAACATAACTCATATTAGGAATTGAAAAGTGAGGTTAAAGTCTTCATCTTCCCTAAAAGGAGGATCCAACTTGGTCCTTCATCTTCTAGCATGAAATGACATCCAGGAGCAGAGACAAAACACTCATAGGTTTGGGTTCCTCAGTCTGTGTTCCCTGAAGCCCTAGGGAGTCCTGAGTATTTTCCCCACAGTCCCTTTCTAACGGCTTGTTGGCCAATATGCCTAAGGGGAAAGGTCATAGGAAAGATGACCCCTTCCTTGGAGCCTCACAAGGACATGGAGGTGGGAAGCAGATAGAGTAAGGGCAGGGTGTCACCAGTGCCTTATTTCTCAAGCAGTCATCATTTGTTGCATGTCTGTTGGGTGAAATTAAGATATTGGGCTAGATCATAAATGTTAATAAGTTGGCTTCCCGGGTGGCTCAGTGGAAAGAACCCACCTGCCAATGCAGGAGATGGAGGAGACACAGGTTTGATCCCTGGGTTGGGACAATCCCCTGGAGGAGGAAATGGCAACCCACTCCAGTATTCTTGCCTGGAAAATCCCATGGACAGAGGAGCCTGACTGGCTAAGTTCATGGGGTTGCTAAGAGTCAGACACAGTGGAGCGACTGAGCAAGGCAAGCAAGGCAATAAGTAAATTGTTTTGTCATTCTGCTATTCTATTTACAAAGTAATAATTTTTTGTGATTTTTCTAGAATTATAGAACCCTAGAATATTATAGCCAGAAATTACTCACAGATCACCTAGACTGGTAACTCTCAACACTGGCTGCCTATTACCATTACCTGGAAGAGCTTTTAAATATTGATGTCCAGGCCTCATTCCAAGCTAATTAAGTTAGAATCTCAAGGGATGATACACAGACATCACTATTTTTTTTAAATTCTCCAAGCAATTTTAATGAAGTTTAGTCCAAACCCTTTATTTTATAGATAAGGATACTGGAAACACAGCGAAAATCAAACAACAGGTCTCAAATTAGTTAACATAGAACTACCATTATACCGTGTTCATGGATTGGAAGAATCAATATTGTCAAAATGGCTATACTACCCAAAGCAATCTATAGATTCAATGCAATCCCTATCAAACTACCAACGGTATTTTTCACAGAACTAGAACAAATAATTTCACAATTTGTATGGAAATACAAAAAACCTCGAATAGCCAAAGTAATCCTGAGAAAGAAGAATGGAACTGGAGGAATCAATCTGCCTGACTTCAGACTATACTACAAAGCCATAGTCATCAAGACAGTATGGTACTGGCACAAAGACAGAAATATAGATCAATGGAACAGAATAGAAAGCCCAGAGATAAATCCACGAACCTATGGACAACTTATCTTCGACAAAGGAGGCAAGGATATACAATGGAAAAAAGACAACCTCTTTAACAAGTGGTGCTGGGAAAACTGGTCAACCACCTGTAAAAGAATGAAACTAGAACACTTTCTAACACCATACACAAAAATAAACTCAAAATGGATTAAAGATCTAAATGTAAGACCAGAAACTATAAAACTCCTAGAGGAGAACATAGGCAAAACACTCTCCAACATAAATCACAGCAGGATCCTCTATGACCCACATCCCAGAATTTTAGAAATAAAAGCAAAAATAAACAAATGGGACCTAATGAAACTTAAAAGCTTTTGCAGAACAAAGGAAACTATAAGCAAGGTGAAAAGACAGCCCTCAGATTGGGAGAAAATAATAGCAAACGAAGCAACAGACAAAGGATTAATCTCAAAAATATACAAGCAACTCCTCCAGCTCAACTCCAGAAAAATAAATGACCCAATCAAAAAATGGGCCAAAGAACTGAACAGACATTTCTCCAAGGAAGACATACAGATGGCTAACAAACACATGAAAAGATGCTCAACATCACTCATTATCAGAGAAATGCAAATCAAAACCACAATGAGGTACCATCACACACCAGTCAGGATGGCTGCTATCCAAAAGTCTACAAGCAATAAATGCTGGAGAGGGTGTGGAGAAAAAGGAACCCTCTTACACTGTTGGTGGGAATGCAAATTAGTACAGCCACTATGGAAAACAGTGTGGAGATTTCTTAAAAAGCTGGAAATAGAACTGCCATATGACCCAGCAATCCCACTTCTGGGCATACACACTGAGGAAACCAAATCTGAAAGAGACACGTGCACCCCAATATTCATCGCAGCACTGTTTATCATAGCCAGGACATGGAAGCAACCTAGATGCCCATCAGCAGACGAATGGATGAGGAAGCTGTGGTACATATACACCATGGAATATTACTCAGCCATTAAAAAGAATTCATTTGAATCAGTTCTAATGAGATGGATGAAACTGGAGCCCATTATACAGAGCGAAGTAAGCCAGAAAGATAAAGACCATTGCAGTATACTAACACATATATATGGAATTTGGAAAGATGGTAACAATAACCCTATATGCAAAACAGAAAAAGAGACTCAGATGTATAGAACAGACTTGTGGACTCTGGGAGAAGGCGAGGATGGGATGTTTCAAGAGAACAACATCGAAACATATATATTATCTAGGGTGAAACAGATCACCAGCCCAGGTTGGGTGCATGAGACAAGTGCTCGGGCCTGGTGCACTGGGAAGACCCAGAGGGATCGGGTGGAGAGGGAGGTGGGAGCGGGGACCGGGATGGGGAATACATGTAAATCCATGGCTAATTCATTTCAATGTATGACAAAAACCACTGCAATGATGTAAAGTAATTAGCCTCCAACTAATAAAAATAAATGAAAAAAAAAAATTAAAAAAAAAAAGAAATTAATTGTGTCTTCTGGTCTCATGTTTTTTAAGATTTTGGCATGAGCAAAGTGTACCAAGCAAATGTCTGATTTTCTCATTGCAAAGCAAATATTTTAAAGGCTCCTTCTTTTATATGAAATTTGGAAACGGCAGCCTTTCATCGACTACAGAGGCAGCCTGCCTGACTACTCTTTCCGTATCAAGCCCTCTTTCTCATCTCCTAATTCACAAGCACACAGCCTGTTGGTTTCCTTTCCCATCCCTCATAGGCTAGAATAGACTTTTCTAGCTATAAAGAGCTTGTTCCTTCAACTTTGAAACTCTTTTTTAATTTGATAAATGTAAGTTTCTCCCCAGCAGCAATAGATGACTTTGCTTGACTAGTATTCAACAGTTTAAAAATCCATTTCACAACTATTGCATTTAACATCTGTAAAAAATCCATAATGTGAGCAGGTATTACTGTTGCCATTGAACAAGTAAGGGATCTGAGACAGAGACTAAGGGATATACTCTACCCCTGGTCTCCTCATCACAAATCTAGTAGACTTTTCAAGGAATCACAGTTGCCTCCATTCTATAGCTTCAGTCGCATTAGGCTCACATGTTCTTTCTCCTTTCCCCTGCTATGGACTCGTTCCCTTTCCTTCACCAACTTACCTTTTTTTACTGTAATCCTGAGTTTATTAGAGGTGCGGGGGAGCTTCTGAACTCTACCCTCGCAGTAATAGATGCCACTGTCTTCTTCTGTGACATTGGTGATGGAGATGTTGTGGTTCTCATACCAGTACTTGAGAGATGTGTTATCCTTGTAGTAGATCACCTTGAAGACATTCAGATTCCTCCAACTGTGGCACCTGAGGAAGAGGGACTCACCCTCTAACATCACCTCAGCAGAGGCCTGAAGGAGCAACCAGTCTGAAGAATATGTGTTAAGTTATTTATTTAACAATGACAGAAAAGATAAAATAAAAATAAGATAAATAAAAAAGGTCATGCAGAGAGTGTGTATCAGAAACCTTAATCATTAACCCATTTCTTGGCTCATAAGGTCAATAAAAAGGAAATACAAAATAATGCTTACAGCCTGTCTCCTCTGTTGATAAATACTCTGTCCCCCTGAAAGGTAATTCTGGGGCCACAACATCGCTGACACTTTTGATGAGCCCAGCCAAAGGAGGTCTGAAACCCATTATCCCTTTCAGCTCTATTGTTGCATTTGGTCACTAAAGGGGAAATAAACCTACTCTGCCTGGAGAGTCCTAGCCTAGTAAAGTTGTCCTCTCTAAACTTACAGGTGCTTCCCAGTTCTACTAATCACAGTAAGCCTCCAGCTTCCTCAGAACACGCAACACAATTTGAATTAATTATTTATGTAATTATTGACTGGATGTACTTTTCCTCATTGGTATCTATACTTCAGAGGTCAGGAGCATGTCTGTTCCTTTCATCATATCTCCAGTGCCTAATAATACCTAGGAATCAGTAAATTCTCAATGAATGTTTGTCAATAATGAGTCAGTAAAATATAAGAGTCAGGTTGTATGGCTAATGTCATTTTAAGAACTCAAAATTTAGAATGGAAATGTGTCTAGGTTGCATAAGCATATTTTCTTGAGGAGCAATCCTTGAGGACTTTTCTAGAATCTACTCCAAAAAAATAAAGAAGCTTTTTTACACTACTCTAGTTTCTACTTAGAATTTGTACACAGATGTTGAAACATCTCTTTTCACTCAAGAGAAAAATACAAAATATGCTTACACTTTAAAAACATAAAACAAAATATAAATGACCTAGCTATTCAAATGAAATCATTACTTTGTTCACTGAACATTTACCAAGTAACCCACACATGCCTGAGCACATTGCACTAGGTGTGACAGTGGGAGAGTGGTGAAGCAAACATAAGATTTGCTCTTGAGTAAAAGTAGAGTACGTGAGGAACGTAAAGAGATATCTTTCAAAATAAAGAGTACAGCTTACTACTTTACCATATGTAAAATAGATATCCAACGGGAATTTTGCTCTATGTCTCAGGAAATTCAAACAGAGGCTGTGTATCAGACTAGAAGGATGGGATGGGGAGGGAGATGGGAGGGAGGTTCAAAAGGGAGGGGACATATGTATACCTACGGCTGATTCAGGTTTGACAGAAAACAACAACATTCTGTAAAGCAATTATCCTTCAGTTAAAAAATAAATAAACAAACAAAAAGAGTACAACTCAATATTCAGGTCATGACACATGGAAATGGCAAACTAAATCTTTAAATCAAAGAACTCTTTGTAACGTTTACATATCCAATATGCCATTTGACCATAGTGCATCTGTACCCAGGCAGAGAAGATAGAAATGAAACAGACTAGGGGCATAACACTGGGAGATTGCTGGAATATTGAGAGCAGGCAGCAGGGCAGATGGAGCAGAGGCAGAAGACAGATGGACCCATTGTGGAGAGAGACCTTGAGTTCACCCTTGCTTCTCTGAGCCTTGGAGTAACTTGCTTTCTCCCCATTTTCAGACGGGCCATTCCGCACATGAGAGAATTGATATTTCTGTAACCCTGGAACTTACCACTGGTGACATTTAGGTACACAGGTTCACTAACGGCATATCCTTTGATTCGGCATTGGTATTCCCCACTGTTCTGCATGTCTGCATTCACAATGTCCAATCTTGAATTTGACACTGTCAAACGGGTTCGATTGTGGATCCACACAGGGGACTTATCTTCAGAGGAACTGTTTGTACCACATGTCAGACTCACAGTGTCTCCTCTAAATATTTCTCTCCATGGTGGATTCAAGAACACCTTAGATTTCCAGATGACTTTGAGAAGAACGGATTGTGGAAAGAGATATGGAAGGAGGAAAAATATCATTGAAATCTGTTCAGCCTCCAGAGTACAGACATAATAATAGTCAATCAATGGTCAGTCTACCCTTAAACTGTTGGTGATAAGAAACTATCCTGAGTCCTAGGACTAAAGGAAGGAGGAAAGAATCTTGTGGTCCCACCTAGGGACCCTAGCTTCCAACCTAGGAAAAAACAGGACAGAAGTATAAGATATTAAAAAACAAAAGAGGGTAATCCCTCTAATTTTCTTGATTCCAATTTCAGTATCTGTAAATGAAAATTGAAGTCTCTTCTCAGGCAGAGATTATGTCTGTGATATTCATACATAGTTCAGCACAATGACTGCTACATAGTGAATATTCATTAAATATTTATTGAGTTGATGAATGAGTGAATAATGGATGAATTAAGGTAGTGGATTAAATGAAATACATGGCCTCTCCCAGCTCTAAATTTTTATGACTATTTAATTGTGAGCGAATAAGGAATGAAAATCATATGTCAATTCTGGAAGGTACTGATAATCACCAAGAGAATCAGTCATAAAAGGCTTTCAATACAAAGAGATGTGGCACAAATTTGAACAAAGACTTTGGAAGTGGCCAGGTAGTGATGAGGAAGAGGTGATATGGTCAAAAGAGAACTAGACTTGGATTTAAGGGACTTACATTAGAATCCAGTGCCTTGTTAGCCATGTAACCTCCAACAAATTACTTAATCTGAGTTTCAGTATCCTCAGTTATAAAATGGAAATAATAATAACAGTGATGATGATGTAAGAATTGAATGAGTTTACATCATAATGTCTGGAGCAGAGGCTGAGACAGATGCTCAGCAGACAGGATTGCTTGCACAAAAGAGGAAAGGGTGACTTGAGAGAATGAAGTGCTGTGTGGGAAGCTTTTTAATGGGGGAAAGAAGGAAGACGAGGCAGGTGGAAGTGCAATAGACAGGAAAAAGCAGATTAATAACCATTAAAAAATAGATGATGGGATGAAGGGAAAGGATGAAGGGCGGGCAGTCCCCAGGCACATTGAAATGCTGAGGGAACAAGGACAGAGGACTCACCTGGTGACATGCCATCTGTAGCTGCAAAATCCAGAGACAAAAAGTTAGTGTCTGTCCCCAGCCTTCTGGATACCTGAAGACTGGGATTTGGTTATGATGCTGAGGTCTACATCCACGGAGTCTTAAGGGCCAACCATCTTTTCATGACTCTGTTCCAGGGAGAGAAGGAGCTTCGCTTCTTCATCTGCTGTCCCTCCTTTACCCTCTAGGAAAAGCCAGCTTGATAGCAAGGACCAGACTTTAGTCCGGCTTCCTCCTTAGATGGTGCTCAACCCCCCTTCTTCTGCTATCCAGCTCGTCCTGCCTACAGAATCCCTGGGAAATGACCCACAGTTTGCTCATAACCTAGAAAAAGTCAGCAATAAAATTGTCAACTTTCCCTTGCCAGCAGCTCCCCCACTCTGTTCTGGCCCCTTCAGGGGAGCTAGTAACTCTACTTACAGAAAAGCAGCAGAGCTAGCCACAGCAAGGCAGGGGCTCCCATGGGAATAGTAGGCATTTTCTCCGCGGCCTCCAACTGAGCTGCAGAGATCCAGGGCCTTAGAATAAACTTGAAAGTAAAAATGAGAAGGAAATGTTCTGTGTCATATCTGGTTAACGCATCAGCTGCACCTAGGTTTGCTTCCTTCTCTGGAGATAACATTCAGAGTGGTGCCTAAAAGGGCAATTTTATATAAGTAGTTTTAAAATCATTTATTGATTTTTTTTTTTTTTTGATTGCACTCCACAGCGTTCAGGATCTTAGTTCCCCAATCAGGGATTGAAACCATGCCCCTTGCAGTGGAAGTGGATGCATAACCCCTGGACCACCAGGGAGCTCTCCAGGGCAATTTTATATTTACCCCCATACCCTCCATTCCACCTCCGTGTACACACCTGGAATCTAGTGGGAGAGAGGCAGAGGCTAGGGACACAGGAACAAAACTTCCTTAAACTATCAACGTACAGTCATCTTGTCGGCAACTTAGAAAAGTGGGGTGCAGAGGAGAGAAAATAGAATAAAAATAACAGTTAACTATTCACCTAACATAGGTCAGGCACTATGCTAAATATGCCTCATATTTCATTCATTTCTCAAAATAATTCTATGAAGATGTACCATCGTTATCTACATTTTGTAGAGAGGAATATTGGAGCTTCGAGAGGTAAAGTCATTTATCTTAGAGTACTCCCTAGTAAATGGCTAATTTGGGACTCAAATATTTGAAAAATCAGATCCTAGAGTAAAATTCACAATCATGATGATCTACTGTTTATGCACATCTAAAAGTATGGCCATAATTCTAGCTAAAATTCTGTTGTGGTTCTCCAGAGTTACCAACCCTCTTGTTACCTAATTTCCTGCTGATCCATTAGTGCACAAATCCACAAACTTTAATGTGCTTCCCTGATGACCCACTGTCCAACCAGCCAAATTGGAGATATTTTTGGAGACTCCTTCTCTCCATGGGTCCTGATGAGGTCTACAACACAGGAAGGCAGATGTTAAACCATAACTTACAGAGATCTCAGTAATATAATTTATTTTATTACTCCAGCTTTTGTTCAATTTTATGTTTCTAATCCTCTAGGCTGATCACCCTTTCTCCTTTAAATCCACATCTGTTTCCTTCCCTCCAGGACCTCAGTGACTAATTCTTCTCTTTTTAACTCTAGGTCAGAATTAGTCACCTTCTTCCCAGGCTTGTTATTGATAATGACACTGGAGATAATATCTCCATAAATATCTACAGTGACTTGCCCTCCACAAAGCTTTTTTCATGTGTGATATTATTATTTGGCCCTTGCCAAAACTCTGAAATAGCAGAGGCAATATGAAGTCAGCAAGGCCCCATTCTCTCATGGCAGCTTTTCCATGCTGTTTTTATTTAATATATATAACTCTATTTATTTATGTGTGTATGCTTGGCTGTGCTGGGTTTTTTTGATGCTGCGTGTGTTTTCTCCACTTGCGGCAAGCAGGGCCTACTCTGCAGTTGCAGGGCATGGGCTTCTCACTGCGGTAGCTGCTCTTGTGGAGCATGGCCTATAGGGCATGAAGGCTTCAGTAGTTGCTGCCTGTGGGCTCAGAAGTTGCAGTTCCCAGGCTCTAGAGCACAAGCTTAGCATTTGTGGCCCACGGGCTTAGTTGCTCCTCAGCACGTGGGTTCCTTGCGGACCAGAAATCAAACCTGTGTCTCCTGCATTGGCAGGAGTACTCTTTACCACTGAAACACCAGGGAAACCCCACCAACTGTTGAATTAAGACTGATGAATTAAACATAAAGTCGCTGTACATAAAGATCTAACCAAAGCTTTCAACTTCTCTGAAATTAGAGAATATAGGTCTACAGACTCCTAAACAGAAAGTTTCAGATAAGAAAGATTGTGACTGGCCCCAGGTTGTGCAATATCTTAGTGACAGATCTTTAAAGAAAGCAGAGAGTTATTTTGGAAAGTGTAAGTATTTAAAGATCTGAATACAAATACTCCTGGTATTTAAGGATTAGGGTTTACCTATAAAATAGAGACAATAATGATACCCAGATCATGCTTTATTAAGAGGTTTAAGAAGATAATAATGTGTAAAATGCATTGAAGAGCATCTGGTATGTAAAAGATGTTCCATAAATCTATCTTTCCTCTCCTTTATTGTTGTTGTTGTTGTTCAGTCGCTAAGTCAGGTCTGACTCTTTATGATGCCATGGACTACAGCATGCCAGGCTTCTCTGTCCTTTACTATCTCAAGCAGTTCAGTCAAACTCATGTCCGTTGAGTCGGTGAGGTCATCCAACCATCTCATCCTCTATTGCCCGCTTCTCCTCCTGCTCCCAATTTTGCCCAGCATCAGGGTCTTTTCCAATGAGTCAGCTCTTCCCACTAGTTTGCCAAAGTATTGGAGCTTCAGTATCAGTCCTTCCAATGAATATTCAGGGTTGATTTCCTTTCAGATTAATTGGTTTGACCTTATTGCAGTCCAAAGGACTCTCAAGAGTCTTCTCCAGCACCACAATTCGAAATCATTATTTCATCGGTGCTCAACCTTCTTTATGGTCCAACTCTCATATCCATACATGGCTACTGGAGAAATCATAGCTTTGACTATATGGACCTTTGTCAGCAAAGTGATATCTCTGCTTTTTAATGCACTGTTTAGGTTTGCTGTAACTTTTCTTCCAAGGAGCAAGAGTCTTTTTATTTCATAGCTATAGTCATCATCCACGGTGATTCTGGAGACCAAGAAAATAACATCTGTCACTGTTTACATTGTTTCCCCATCTATTTGCCAGGAAGTGGTGGGACTGGATGCCATTTATTACCATTATTCAATACTCAGGAGGAACATCCATTTCAACAGGACTAAGGCAATCAGCAAATACATAGGATGTTTTACTTGATAACCAGTATGTTATGCCAATATAATTTATGTAAGTAATCTCACTCCTCCCCATAGTGATGAAGAAGACAGTATTATAGGAATGAACACGAATGGAAAAAATTGTTTGGGGAAGAGGAGGAGAAAGAAATGGGGAAGATGCAATTTTTGAAGCACTGTCAGAGGGCAGCACATATTTGAAAATACCAAGATCCTAGAAGAGACAAAGACAGAATTTGTTTCACCACTTTGTTGAGAGTTTGTCCAGGAGAGTTACCAGATATTCTTTTACCCTAGCACAGCAATTCTACAATAAAATTATCCTTTAGAGACAGTCACTTTACTATGACTCAAAAAATCTATTTTAAAGCCTCCCCCCAGATGCTCAACATCACTCATTATCAGAGAAATGCAAATCAAAACCACAGTGAGGTACCATTACACGCCAGTCAGGATGGCTGCTATCCAAAAGTCTACAAGCAATAAATGCTGGAGAGGGTGTGGAGAAAAGGGAACCCTCTTACACTGTTGGTGGGAATGTAAATTAGTACAGCCACTATGGAAAACAGTATGGAGATTCCTTAAAAAGCTGGAAATAGAACTGCCATATGACCCAGCAATACCACTTCTAGGCATACACACTGAGGAAACCAGATCTGAAAGAGACACGTGCACCCCAATGTTCATCGCAGCACTGTTTATAATAGCCAGGACATGGAAGCAACCTAGATGCCCATCAGCAGACGAATGGATAAGAAAGCTGTGGTACATATACACAATGGAATATTACTCAGCCATTAAAAAGAATTCATCTGAATCAGTTCTAATGAAATGGATGAAACTGGAGCCCATTATACAGAGCGAAGTAAGCCAGAAAGATAAAGACCATTACAGTATACTAACACATATATATGGAATTTAGAAAGATGGTAACGATAACCCTATATGCAAAACAGAAAAAGAGACTCAGATGTATAGAACAGACTTGTGGACTCTGTGGGAGAAGGCGAGGGTGGGATGTTTCAAGAGAACAGCATCGAAACATGTATATCTAGGGTGAAACAGATCACCAGCCCAGGTTGGATGCATGAGACAAGTGCTCGGGCCTGGTGCACTGGGAAGACCCAGAGGGATGAGGTGGAGAGGGAGGTGGGAGGGGGGACCAGGATGGGGAATACATGTAAATCCATGGCTAATTCATTTCAGTGTATGACAAAAACCACTGCAATGTTGTAAAGTAATTAGCCTCCAACTAATAAAAATAAATGGAAAAAAAAAATAAATAAAGCCTCCCCCCAAGTCTTCAGTTATTCCCTGCTTAAATGGGAGGTGGACTGGAATTCAAGATATACTAGTTCTTAATACGGAGAGAATAAGGTTCGTCATTGACACACTATTTTCATTTCCTCCACCATCCTAAAGCAAAACTTCAGTGTCCAGCAGTGAAATGAAGGTAGTGTTTTGGTAGCAGTAATAGCAATGATTTAACCAATTCAACTAAAGCAGTTCATTAAAACTTAAAAACAAACCAAGCCACCCATCCTCAACCCACACAACAACAACACCAAAACCAAAAATATCAACATCAGGAAAAATAAAGCATATCCTAATTCTCATACTATAAAACCACAGGTACCCAAAGGAACAAAAGGAGAACTCAGAAGGAACAAATAAACACAAGATTAAATCATAGTTCTGCTCTACTCTAGCATAACTGGTTGATTCACCAGTCAAGTCCCACACATCCTTTATCTTATTATACAAAAAAATTCTCCAAATGTTATTATCCACTAACTAGGTGGAGTGTGCTATTGATTTCTTGCATTCTGCCTGTAGATATCAGAAACATGTACTCACTGGGACCCATAGATTTTTGTCTTAATCTCAGTTCTTATAATAAGCATTGAATCCAGACACTCATATGTTCAACACTCATTAACAACATCTCTGCCCCAAATTTTGCCCTTTATTAGTTTTCAGAAACCTTAGTGGTTTGGGTGTTTTGGGGTTTTTTTTTTTTTGTTGCTGTTGTTGTTGTTGTCGTTTGGCCTTACTGCACAGCATGCAAGATCTTAGTTTTCCAGTGAGTGATTGAACCCAGGCTCACTGCAGTGGAAGCACAGAGTCTTAGTCACTGAACCACC